CAAAACAAACAAACAAACAATTAAATAAGAAAAAAAGACTACGCATCAACACTGTTAATTTCTTCAACCAGACTTCCTTTGACTATTCTTTTTTCAAGAGAAAACAAGTTCAGAGATCTTAACCCATCCTCATGTGACAACCTTTCCATTCCAGGTATCATCTGAGTATGTCTTTTCTGAACCCCTTACAACAATTCAATGTCCTTTCTGAGGTAAGAAGCCCAGGACTGAACATAATACTCCAAATGTGGCCTAACCAATGACTTATATCAAATCAATAAACACACATACACACACACACACACGCGCGAGAATATACTGGACTTAACCTCACAGGCTATAATGTCTACTAGCTGATTTATTTTATCAGGTAAAAAATATTTTCCACCATACCTTTTTTGTAAGCTTCTTAATACTTTGGGATCATCTGTTGCCACGTAAACTCTCTTAACTGGCACAGAATGTTCCAGTTCCAACTGACTGTAAAAGTCCTCTACGTGAACCATATATTCCTCTACTTTCCAACCCGAGGCTTCTGTGCCAATCTTATCAGTTCGTCTAACGTGTAAGCTGTAGGTGCAAGATATAAAACTGTAAAATATGGTAAAAGTATGAAACTGTAAAGCACAGTAAAATATGAAACTGCAAAATACGTTGTTTTATTAGTGTAAAACTACACAGTTGGCCATCGAGCACTCTGTCCGTCGTGGGGAATTAAGCTCCGGATATTAGCGTTGTAAATCTATAACTGTGCCGATAATACACCGGAGGACCTGCGAAATATTGTAAAATCTGAAACGATAAAACACGTTACAATATAAATTTAAAAGGTGCTTTTATTTTTTAATTCATTAGAAACCTGGAAAATTCTGAATTAAAACCTTGTACGAGTTCACATTTATGACAACGATTCATTCAATGATTTTTTAACCCAACGAAAATTCGTTTTTTAGTGTTTTAAGTCCTCAGACTTACCACTAAGCCACAACGTCCTGAAACATTAATAAAATATCAACAGAAAACAAATAATTTACGGTGTATAATATAGAGAAGAAACACGAGTTTGTTGTTAAGCACAGAGCTACAGAATGAACTAGCTGTGCTCTATTGAAACTCGATTTTTTTTTTGCATTCTAATCCTTTTAAACCCTAAGATTTCTCGCCAAGCCACCGGAAGACGATTATAACACATAACACATCTTCACCCTTCCTCCACGAACACCACTTTCGTTAAAATCAATCAAATATGAAAGGATCAAAGAACTCTTTTACAAGTTCATTTTAACAGTCTGATTATACATTTTACTATGTTAACAATTCTTGTAGCATAAGTACAGTCCCCAGGGGTGCCAGCACTAAGTGGCTACTCTTAACTGAATAGCGAGACTGACTGTTACAGCTATAACGCCTTCATAGTCGAGAATGCGAAGCATATTTGATGGCATATGACGGCTCGAATTTTGAGCCTTTCATTCCGCAGTCAATAACGCTAGTTGCTAGGCCTGCCCGGCTTTTATTTCTCAGAAAAGTCGGCCTTAAATGGAAATTTTGATATGCAGATGTTTTGTAACAGTCTTTAAATGATTATAACATCTGTGTACAGTATTAACATTTGTGTAATATTTCGAAAAACACAAGTGTGAGGTCAAATCAAAGAACGTCTCGGTCAACAATCGCTGGAAAGTAGTAATTAATAAAAATAAAAAAATAACAGTTAAAACACCTTTGAACCAACTCTAAATACAAATTGTAATAATGATCTCTGATCATCATAATCAAAGAAACTAAAAGGAAAAATATCAATAAGTTCATGAAGTTTTTTGTTATTGTTTACAAGTAAGTATACCGTTCTTTCGCTCTTACTTATAAATATTACACTTCATTGTTTCATCAATTGGGTACCCTTACTGATAGCGATATTTTCGGCCGCAAACCAGTAATATGTCACGAGTTTGACTACCTTAGAAGATTTAGGACAATCTTAAATGTACAAACTATAGAGATAAGTGTATATTAAAACGATTTGGAGCTTCACCCCTTCCAGCCATACTCTATACGATGACTGTGTATCCTGACAATAGCTGCACAACATAGTTTCCATTGCAAAAAACTCCGTCGAAAGACTGTAATATTAAAAGCATAGTACTCCTCCCTATTGCTTTCCATAATCCATCTATTGCATAAAGACGACGGTTTCTTAGAGTCCATTTCAACAATATGATTGCATAAAAATCCACAGGCTCTGCATTCAATGATTTAACCAGTATGTCTTCACATGTAATAGCAGGAATACTATGCTATCTCGTGGAAGACCAACAAAGCATAAAATTTAGGCCCGTTAATAACTGGAGTTGAAAATTTTACTTTTTTAATTAAATGATGGAAAATGTATAGTATGTCTTTGTACTAGAATAACAATTTATTTCTCCAGCTAATGTATGTGACGGTTGAATTGGAAGTGTGATTGGAAGCCTATTTTTTGTGAACCCATTCTCTGTTAGCCTCCTTTCTAGACAGACGTTGCTCTTGATCACATTGCATACTATTGTCTTGGGAATGCGGATGGCTATGACAATGATCTTTGTATTCGTGGATTCTCACCTGTTACAATACGCCACATTTTGCTTACCATGACTGGGGTACGACTTATTGCAGGTGTCTTTCTGGATGGTCCTGGTGCCCCAAGTTGGTCCATGTTCTTTTGTTTTCTAAATTCATTAAGCAAAAGAGATATCTCCGTCTAGGAAATTCTAAGTATCTGATCTTCATATTTCTTTATGATTCGAGTGTTTGAACATTTTGCGTTCGGAAAAGGCTGTTACGGACCATTCCCAAAAGCGATAAATTTTCGGTCGCAACATACTACTGACGAAAGACCAAACACTAAAACTGAAGTTCTGATACATGCCCTTTCATCACAACTTTATAGCGATTGTTTGTCACGTGAATTGCTGATTCGTACATTCAAAATAATTCCCCCCGAAAGCGGACCGAAGGCTGTCTGGAATGGTCACCTTTTTTTAACCACTCGCACTGTGTTTTCGGTCAGCCAGTTAGTAGACACTAAAATGATGTAACATAAGGGACACTTAACATTGTAATTTGTACTGTCGTGACGTCAGTAAAACATGCGCATGCCATGAATCAGGAGAAGAATTATTCACTCTGTGGGCAACAGCACAGCATGACATATGAACTTCAAAAGCAAGAAATTAGAATATTTGTTACTCTTAATTTTGGTTTTATTTATATTTGAAAGAGAATACTTTCGGGGGCCCTGCGGAAGTACATCTGGATTTAGTATAACGTACTATACTCAATCATCTGTAATAAATTATCAATGCAAAATAATCTCTTTACAAAACATATATACTAAAATACGTGCACCAAATGCTCTAACCAATATTATTAATGAAAGTAACAAAAATGAAAGAATACAATTACTTGTAAACTGTATGATACTTCGGTCCAGGATAAACAAGAGGGAATCCTCAATAGCCGCAGCATTTGAAATTATTTTAGGAAGGATTAGAGTAAATTAATTTATCAGACCTTTTTTTTCCTTTTTATTAGTTATATTTTAATGCGTGTCAGCAATATCAAGCATGGGGCGCGCGTATACCCGATTAAATTTTATTACTCATCAGGATCTCTACCAGCCTACCCTCATATTTAAATTCTTTTAGACAGGATTAGAGAAAATTAATCTACGAGACATTGGGCTTAGTCAAATACATCAATCGAAAGAGTTTGACTTCTTGAGTCCAAATCTACAATTAGATCTGAACTTGGCCAAGAGATGACGGAGCTATGAGCTAAAAGTGTGTACTTGAACCCCCCCCCCCAAAAAAAAAAACAACAACCAAAGCTGTTCTATGAACCGCTATGCCGCAGCTAAAAATACTTAGGTTTAGTTGAAAAGCCGCTGATGATACGAATATTTGAACAAAAACTCTTAATAACGATACTAAAGAACCAATTTCAAAACTACACTCACCCTGCAATTGGATGAATAAAATCTGAACCTTTGATAGTCTTCACATAACTTAGCAGTTCTTCCTGGGGTCGAAGAATGAACTTGATAAACTGACCATACCACCAGGCTAATGGGCTGTCGGAAACTAGCTTTAGTGACGGAAGAAGATCCGCAGGCAGAGACCTGAGCAACTCACGATTTACAGCGTCTGAGAGAAAAGAAATTACGCAGGTCTAATGTTACGTGTTTCTTCAGCACTTCCCTAAACTGTCTCGTGAAAACATGTCAAAAATATACACGTCACCCGTTTTAGATGAAAAACAAACCTGAAACAAAATCAGTATGACGTTTAATGGAATTTTAGTTTATGTTTTCTTAAAGTGAATATATCGCTGTAAATTAAGCATAATACACTCACCAGTTCTCTTATATATCTGTATACATTCGAACGCATACTTAAAGTATTATTGTTCGATGCTTATCCTCACCAATAAATAAAAGGTAATGATAATTAATTTACAAACCATAAAGAAACACTGAAAGCAGGTACTAACTATGAATTAATACTTGTATATCTTCTCCTGGCCAATGAATAACACACATTTAAGCTGAAAACACATATAGATATTTATAATTCACTTTTGGGAAAGCTATCAAGAAAAACATAGATAATTGGACAATGGGCAGTCTAACGTGTAATATCGTCATCTGTTTTGTTTTTTATATACAGAAGATGCTAAAATTAAAATTGATAACATCTACCCATACTACAGAATGTCTAATATCGTACCGCTGCGTGTGATAGTTTCTAACATGTAGTCAACGAACAAACAAAAAACAAAGTCAAACAGTCCTTGGGTAGCAATAAACGGTGTAGTTCGCACTTGACTGCTCTTGATATGAGCTATGAAAACTTTCGAAACTTTTCGGGCGTTTGACATAGTTATAAAAATGAACATCTTCTCTTTAATTCAACCCTTTCAATGAAATGAGATTGGTAGTAATCCTTATACAAGGGCCTGATGTTCAGGGTGCTAGTTTGAATTCCATCACGCGAAATGCTCGCCCTTTCAGCTATAGGGACGTTATAAGTTTCGGTCAATCCCACTTCTCGTAGCCCATGAGTTGGCGGTGAATGGTGTTGACTGGTTGCCTTCCGTCTAGTTTATCACTGCTAAATTCGGAACAGCTAACGCAGATAACCCTCGTGTAGCTTTGCGCGAAATTAAAAAACAACAACAACAACATTTAAATCCTTCTACGAATTTTAAGAACAAAAACACGTGAAAATTAATGTTTTCATATGGTAGTCTGATTTGATTACCCAATATCATACTTTTATTCATAACCTGACAAATATATCGTCGCCAATGTTTGAATACACGGGCATTAACTCAATGAAGGGGTTGTGTCATTTAAAAACCGTTCTAAACATTCCCATCATGCTCCACCTGATCTTTAACTACCTAACTGTGAGTCATACAAAAAAATTACTTATGAAACCGCAAAATGACAACTTAAACACTTCCTTTCCGCAATGCTTGAAAGTAATTAATGTTTTAAGTAATTTGCGCCTGTTTCTTTATGGAATCCGACAAAGAGCTATCTAGACCTTGGATCAAGTTTTCCACATAAAATGAATAATCAAAATAGACTAATTTCACTTAATAAGCTTTCGGAAGAAATTTAAAAGTTTGTTCATCTTGACGATACCTAACGCATACAAAAGGCTGACATAATCGTCCCTAATTTTGAACTGCGGACCAGAGTGAGAGGAATTGGTCTGCAGTACCTGCCGCCTAAAGCGGCTATTCTTAACCGAATAGCAGAATTGACTGTCACCCTTATAACAAACCCACGGGTGCAAGAGTGAAGCGTGTTTAATAACATCAGTTCTCGAACCAAGGACCTTCGGAACCTTAGTCCCATATATTAACTCGCTAGGCATCCTTCGGGCTAATTTAACATAATGTTTAGGGACAATAAGGGACCTGTTGGTCAATCCCAACTGTCCCATCTTCTAAACAAAACCAAAACTATCAAATAAACAAATTAATATATATATATATAAAGCTCTTATCATTCATATAGATATCAAGCTTTCTCTTAAACTCACTTAAATTTACTGCCTCCACAACATCCGAAGGTAACCCATTCCAAAGGCCAACTACCCTGTTCGAAAAATAAAACTGTCTTAACTGAAGATGACTCCTACCCTTCCAATATTTATATTTGTGTCCCCTAGTTCTACTATTCTCGCCATTAAGTATGAAAAAGATGATGCATCAACACTATCCATTCCATTTACATTCTAAGACACCTCAATCAGATCCCCTCTAATTCTTTTTTCAATAGAAAATAATTTCAGAAATCTCTCTCCTCACATAATAACCTCTTCATCTCAGGCATCATTTTAGTAGCCATCCTCTGAACCCTTTCCAACAATTCAAACGAGTAAAGAGATCAAGACTGAACATAATACTCCAAATGTAGCCTAACCAGTGACCTGTACAATGAAATTATAACCTATTTAGACTTATATTGTAATTTAAAAAGTATAATAGAGCGAAATACTGTAGAAACATTTGAAGATTTTAATTCTCATTTACATGACATGTTTTAGGAAAATTATGATAATAATGCCAGAGCATGAAATTAAGTTTATAAATAGAACAATGCAATATTAATAAACTACAGCAGTTTGTTCTAGAGCAAAGCCACATTAGACTATCTGCTGTATTCACCGCGAAGAAACGAACCCCGGTTTTTAGCGTCACCACTCTGTAAACTTACCGCTGAACTACTGCGTAAAACTCTAACAGGAAGTAATGTGAAACTGAAATAATTATGAAACTCTATTCGACATCGTACACTCACCCAAAAGTACAGTCATGTACAATTAGTCTTGCTAAAACGCTTATGAATGTTTGAGAGGTACATTTATACGAAGATTTTATTTGTTTTAGCGCAAAGCTACATAAAGGACTACAGGCGAATTGTTCACCGTGGAGAATCGAACCCCGAATTTTAGCGTTATAAGTATGTAAAGTTATTGCTGACCCATCAGGGGACTTATATCTAAGCTAATCACACTTTATTGTGTTCATTCTAATGGCCGTGATTACGCACTATTTTGTCATGATATGGGTTGATCACACACTTGTGGTTAGCGGTCCCCACTTTGGGGGACTTGTGCGTGTGTGTTATAAGAGTAACGGTAAAATCCTACCATTTGGTATGACAGGATTAGTTTGAGAGTTGGCAATGAGTGGTGTTGATTTGCTACCATCCGTCCTGTCTATCACTTCGAAACTATGGACAGGCCAGAAATACAAAAGTTAATTGGAACTGCATTGGTGGGCTTGACAGGTATGTTTTTGAATGACATCCATAATTTCAGTTTCTTCAGCCATCTTTCTCAGGAAAAACGGAAGAACAAAACGCTGATTTCGAGGTGAGACTGAAGTTTGGGAATCTTTGGCTTGTGATTATTGTCAATTTCAACTCTTTTCTTAATGTTAAGAAGATATGCTTAGTTTTGCTTGTCACCTCCACCCATAAGTCTATCCATTGTGGCTTTGCACTTTCGAAGGGTATAAATTACATCGTAATAAAATATAAACAGGTGTCACCAGTGGTGTAACGGCTCGCATAATGCAGCGACCCTCCACTGTACTACACATACAAATAGTTCAAATAGACTACGATTAACCCTCTGTAATTTCAGTGAAAAATGTACTTACAAGAGTACTTCAGCAGTGTAGTCCTCGACATATTTATTAAGCTGCTGGTGATGTTTATTTTTGTTTTTACGATTTAAGAAACAACATTCTAAAAGCATAATTCGGAATACATGGAACTACAACTACTGAATGACTTTACACAGATACTGAGTTTACACCACTTTTTTACACCGAGTGAAGCTTTATGAGTAAGTTAACTTTAAACTGATTACTCGCTATAAATTATGATGTACCAATAAAAATCTCAGTCGTGAGTTCACGAGAAAAGACAACACAGTTTCAATGTATATCTCCTGTTTCAAGACAAAAATATTTTATTATTTTTTCACGATGCCAAATATAAGATCACGCTTTCCTATTCATTATCTCGATCCCAATGGGATTAAAATTTCTGCATAACAATAATGAAATACTAATCGCTTAATTGATAGGTCTCTACTAGGCCAGTAGTTAGATTTAAAATAAAAGGTAGAGTAACCAGTTTCAAGAAACAGGGCGGTATCAGGTGAAAATAATCAATAAATAAGAAAATGCGACCAGGATTTTGGTTTTGATTTGTTTTGGAAATTGGTGCAAAGCTATACAATGGGCTACCTGTGCTTCCCGTCCTTCATTTTGAACCAGTAGATTAAGAGGGAACAGCAACCAATTACAATTATTCAGCTGTTTTATTCGAAAACTAGAATTTGGCTGTCACTCTCATAACACACCCACGGCTCCAAAGTACGGAGCGCACAGGGACTCGAACCGTGGACCCTAAAATTCACAGTCCGGTATGGTAACTATTAGGCTACGCCATAGCCTTTCAAACCTTAGTAGGCACAATATTAAGTGCCGACTCATAGCTGTGACGTTACAGGCAGAAGCTCATCTGCTGCTCATTCGCTGGAAGTTTGAATGCTCATGTTGACATGTTGGAGAAAATAGTACGAGTTGTGCAGTTTTTCATAATAAAGGTAATTACGTCAGTTTTAGTATTTTGGATGATGTATACTGTAATACTTACATCTACATATTTAATGAAGCATGTCAAAACTTTAGTGATAGACAATAATAATTTACTCTTATCCTTCCTAAAAGAATTTCAAGTGCCGTGGCTACTGAGGATCACCTCTTGTTTCTCTTAATTTGTTTCTATTTTAACAAAATTATTACAAACAACCAATGCAACTTTTAAAATGTTTAATTTTAGAAAATGCCGCGGAAGTGGCCAGGAGTATACAACTGTCTTTCGTTTTCCTGAGAACACTGAGCAAAGTGCTTACATTGTACATCAAGAAAGGATTTCACACTCATTAAAGCTGCTATAGTCTGCATCAAATATTTCGTTTCTGAATACATTGTGATTGAAGACAGTGTGAAACGCGTAGATGGATCAGTACTTTATGTAACACGTGAAATTCCAAAGCTTACTGATGATGAGTTTCCTTCAGTTTTTCCAAACCTACCACATATCTGTCATCTCAGCCAACAAAGAAAATAAAAACACCTGAATAAAGACAGGCAATTTTAGCCAACCAGAACAAGCAGGCCTTGCAAACAATGGCATGAGAGTGACGAAATCTGATCTTTTGACGGTCTTTGTGGAGAGTTTGACAATCGTGTTGGAGTCGAGTCTTGTTGGTTGATTGTCTAACATTTTTCTATGTTGCTGCATTGTTGACACTATCGAATGTCCAAAGATTAACAGATTTTATTAATATTCTCTCAGATTTGAGCGTGAAATGTTTTTGCGATAGGACAGAAGTAGATAGTGTCAGCCTGTTATAGATACTTTCTTTTGACAATAGGTTAGATCCTTGGTCAAAGCTTGTGAGTATTCTTAGCCATTATAAAAATGTTGACGAAAATGCATTTGTAAATGAGTCAGAGATGTCTCAGGCAATTGGTTGGTTGCAAGAATTGTGTGATGTGGATGAGAAGCACGTGATTAGTTAGCATTTCTTGCTGGAACAATTGAAGCTTTAGAGCTCTGTCTCGTAAGATTTACACTGCAGAAATGATATTGTGGGATGATCGACTATTTTTCGAGTTACCAAAAGCATACGGTTACCTTCGTATAAGTGCACTAATATTGTCAAACGAATCCTACCATAGGCGGTTAACTTCGTCACCCAGACTCAAACCCGACGCATATTTACACCTGGCTTACTTGAAAAACAAAGCTGCACATTTATAACAAAAAAATAATTTCTTTGTTGCTTTATGAAATTCATGCAAAACCTAATGCTAGTTTCGAGGGTGGCAGTATCCAAAGACTTATAAGCAACAGACCATTGCAGCAAGCTAGAACAGTGCAGTCATTTATGATTTCTTCAGTTTTATCAAAGAACAATGATATGGTTACTCCCTTTCCCGATGTAACTTTAAATACAACAAACTTGAAACAGACTGCTGTAAAATGGCTACATCTTGTGCACAGTGTAAGTTATCTGATAACAGAATAAATCGAAGCATGTTTATCACATTTTGTGGTGGAGATCTAAAACTTTCAATTCCACAACCACTTGATTCAACTCTGACCTTGTTGTTTTTTGTTAGTGTTCGTTTGCTAAAATGTATGCGGAAACAACTGGATTAACCAAGTCGATTCCAAACAAACACTAATATATCCTGAAATGTTGCTCGCGAAGCTTGTTTTGGAGACTTGAAAACATTACACAATTTTGAAGAAAATCGATCAGTCAAATTAGCCCCCAAGACTCTGTACCCAACAAACATTGAATGATAGGAATAAGTTTGTGTATCCAACAAACATTGAGTGACAGGAATAAGTTTGGCACTAAAATTGTTCAATGAAAAAGTAATTACAGCTCTTCACTTGTTTTTACAAAGTTGAGTGACACTGTGTTTGATACAAAAATTTTTCATTGAGATAATTGTTGAACTGTGGAAAACTTTCAATATTATATTTTAATATTAAAGATCCTTTGAAAGAAAGAAATCTTCGAGACAATGACTGTGATCCTTTTCGGTCTGTTAATGACGAGAGGCTTGTATATACGGGAAGGCAATGACTTGCTTTGACAACTGGGCGAAGTTGAAATGCAAAGCCAGACAAGATTATCTCTCACAATAAACACATTTTGCTTCTAGACATATTGCAATTACTAAATTTATTTTAGCGCTTACTTGAAAAGCATTGCTAGAATAGGATCACTGCAACCTGGCAATTTTCTCAGTACAGACAGTTGTCTGCAGGAAATTATAATGTTTCAGTTAAACTTATTGTGTAGTCTGAAGAACAACTTGGCAGCAAGTTGATTTTAGTTTGCTGCAGTTTATGATTGATTGTGGAGATGTCATGACAGTGCGTGGTTAAATAATCTGAGCAAAATGATTTTATCTGTTTTGGATGATTTTTTTTTGCGTGTTGAAGTTCATGACAGAGACATGGCAAGCATTATCTTCATTGCTGGTTAAATGGCACATAATGTTGTACCCACGATCTTATGCAAATTAGACAAGCTTGAACTCTGCTCAGATAAGTTTATGCTTTGTGAAAACGGGAAGGAATTGGACGAACATTTCTTCTATATCGAAATATAGACAGAAGCAGTTTTAAACAACCTACACAGTTTTTCACTAACATTGTTATTGGTTCTTATGCTGTACTCAAATGTTTGGTTTTGGAAAAACATAAACAAAATTTTCTGAAAATCAGAGAAAAATTGTCATTGCAACCAGTATTGAATTTACCAACAAAGGAGATTTTATTTGTGAGGGTGGGATAGTGGTGTCTTAGTTACTATATAAAAAAAAAGTACATTAAGTGCTTCTAACACCAGGTTAAGCATTTATACCAAACCTGTTAATGACAAAAACAATGCCACAAAGTCATTGAAAACACAGAAGCTGTCAACTTTAGCCTGGAAGTAAAATCATGTTGGAATTAATTTATGTAGATGTAACCAAAACGTATTAATTTCAGTTTATATCAGAGGCGTAGCCAAGGGGGCTCTGTCCCCCTGAAAAATTATGCATGTTGATCACATATTATTTTTCAGCTTTTATATGTAATAAACTTGCTTTGTATTATTTAATACAAATAAATAAATGACCATTTTATTAAAAATTTAGATGAAATTCAGCCTTTTAATTTAATAGCCCCCATTAAAATTTTCTGCTCCCCCCGAGTGGAAAACCCTCTATGCCACTGGTTTACATCTGTATTTTATTACATTTATTGATTATTTTCACGTGTAATTACAGCAAATGTTGTCTGTGAACATTGCAACAGCTGCTTTAATTCCAGTATTAATTTAGGTGTAGTATTAATTTTTATACTTGTACATAATTCCGTTTATTGTGTGAACCATAAATACACACCATGAAAACTGAACGACTTAATGCATGTTATCATTGATTAACATTATAGAAAATTTGTATATTAGTGTGTGTTTAGTCTAAAATCCTAAGCAGTACACACGCGGTTGACATAACCAGCCTATGTTACATTACATTGAACTGGTTGTCGATTGTGAGCCCCAACTCACAACGCTTAGTATCAGGTCTGCTAGTGCAGTGTTTCTCAACTGGATGAATAGTTCACTTTGGGGTTAATGAGATCACAATAAGGGTGAATGTCAGGGTAAATGAATATTATCAATTATACAACAAATCCAAGAGCAAAGAGAAAGCAATTGGTTATTATTATTTATTCTAGTTATAGTTTGATAAGTACATTTATTTTATGTTGTATTCATTCCAGTTGTAGTCTGATGTATATGTAAGTCACAATAAAGAATTTTGCATTTTATTTAGTACTTTTGTCTTTTTTTTCGAACTAGGGTGAGTGAGCTGTTATCAAAAACTTATACGGGTGAATGATGTTGGAAACGGTTGAGAAGCACTGTACTATAAAAGTCTATGGCTACGTTCGATTGGAGCCTCGATTATCGAGATTACTGGGGACCATTTCGTGAGTAATATTGAACCCGTAATCGATCGTTTCGCTTATCATCAACACTCTTAAAAATAATGAACTTTAAAAATAGTGAAGCTGTAAAACAGTTGAGCATATTTTTTAAAATGCAATATATATGGAAAAAAACTAAAATTTTAACGGAAAGTAGGGATCGTTGCTGCAATAAATGTAAACAAACATCTAAAGTAATACCAGTTTTAAAAATCTATCAATTTACCTGTTTGTATATTTTTTATTGTAGAAACGCACCCTACTTTCCGTTAACATTTTATTTATTTTTTCTGTTTATTTGTTCAGCTTTTACATGTCCATAGAATGGACACAACATCTGTAAACTTTTAGTATAGCCATATCCCTGATAGCTATAATTTAAACTACAGATAAATGTACAGATAAAGCTAATGATATATTAGCTCGTAAGAAAATTCATAACGCTGATGGAGGTTTCACTTAACAAAAAAATTGCAACCGTACTTTCAGCAAGATTTCGTTGACTTCTTGCACAAAGCTACTAGAAGGCTATCTGCGCTTCGAGCAAAACTAAACTAAACTATATATGTATATTAACTGGCGTAAAGAAGACATAAGGACCCAAGGGAAATGACCTAGGGTTAAAATCAGAACATCACCTACTATATCAACTCCATGGGAGGCCCTAAGTGTACATATCAAGTTTGGTGACAATCGGTCAAGCGAGTCGTCAGTTATAAACGAACACACACACACACACACTTTTGTCAAATAATGGTTTGATATATATATATATATATATATATATATAATGAATAAGAACCCAACTGTTAATGCCGGGCCATGGGCTAGGTTTCTTCAGTTGAGGTACATCACAAGAGCTTAGAGGTTTGAAGACTTTTTCCCATTTGCCGAAGGATTTTTCCCAATGCTTCGTTACTAGCACCATAGTCTGGTTTAATCGGTACGAGTTGATGAGACACCACAAGATGTCGTGTATTCGTGAAGCCAGACCAGCAGGATTCTTCAGATCACAAACGAGTATCCGTTTGGTTTGGCAAACGTTAGGAAACTAGAAAATTAGCAGAGAATTTAGTTAAAATATAATGAGAAATTATTCACAAGACTAAACGTTTTGAATATTCGAAACGCATAACTATAATCAGTATAGAGCTGTTTGTTTATTTATGCGAGTATTTTTTCAATACAGTTTGAAACCACTCACCTGAAGGTTATAGATCCGACTCTGTATAATATCAGATAATCTTCGGTGCTCCTCTCTACGCCACGATTCTTGGCCGTTAACTTCACCCAGTTTCTTGAGCTCAATTAGAGCAACTCTAAAAGAAGAGTTATTAACACTGTACAATATATTTATGCTATTAACAGGGCCCCGAGTGTTAACGGGATTACACGGCCGCTACATTTTGTACATAATTTATATATGAACGCAAAAAAAAATTGGTTAACAGCATAATTAAAACCTGCATTTCTAGATTTAGTAACGTCAAGTCTAGCTCAGTATTACCAGATTTATACCTCTTCATTTCGTTATGAGTTATTTTGTTTTTGTTGATTCGCAAGTTATGCCATCTGGTGTCAGACATTCCCATTAATTGTCTATTAAAATGCTTAAAATCTGAAAATATGTTAGTTATACTAAACAAAATTTGAAGCCAAATCTATAATTTGATTTATCACTGTCATTGAGTTATACCGTTTTCGGGGAATTCTACCCCTCTTTTTCAACCCTATACAAGAGCAAATCGAAAGAGTAAGACTAGGTTTCATATATATTTGTTTGTTTGTATTTAAGCACAAAGCTACACAACAGGCTATCTGTGCTCTGCCCACCACGGGTATCGAAACCCGGATCCTAGCGTTGTAAGTCCGCAGACATACCGCTGTGCCACTGGGGGGCTTCACATATATATGGCCTGAAAAAATAGACATCTCAAATCACCATACACGTTAGTTGTTGTTCGTGTTTAAAATATGTGTTAATTCGTTGTTTATTGAATTTATCAATTATGTTTAAAATTGATTAAAGTTGATTATCTTTAAATTTTGCCACATAATCAATACACGGTATTTTTGTTGTAAAAATCACTACATGAACAGAAATTTGGTGATATATAAGTTCAAATTGTTGCCGTTGGCCACATAATGTTTCTTTTTTTTCTGTTGCATAAAAATCTGGGCCCTTTTCCATTTACAAAAACTTTTCATTGTTGGTTTTAAACTTTTATCTGAAAACTTGTGGTTTATGGAATATTTATATATTAACATAGAGTTGCAAATCTAGAAAAAAAGCAATAAACTAAACTTTTCTGTAAACTGTTTTTATGCTCCTCAAGTTTAAAAACGAGTAACCTTTAAATATGTATTTTCAAAGCAGCATGGAATGTTTTAGCTAACATTTATAACATAATGAACTTGGTTTTACATGTTTTACTAAGTGCACACTGGAGACTATAAATTATTATTAAGATAAATACGACCACAAACTCGAGATAGATAAAACTTTTAATATACTTGACGTTTTGATAAAGGGTTAATATTTTTTATAACCCTGACATTTTTCTCTCAAAAGTCAATATCAGATGTGTAACAGCAGCAACTATCATACTGGAAACAAGGACAAATAATGTGGAATTGAACAAAGTACCATACTGGAAACAAGGAAAAATAATGTGGAATTGAACAAACTACCGTACTGGAAACAAGGACAAATAATGTGGAATTGAACAAACTACCATACTGGAAACAAACTACCATACTAGAAACAAGGACAAAGAATGTGGAATTGAACAAACCATCATACTGGAAACAAGGACAAAGGATGTGGAATTGAACAAACTATCATACTGGAAACAAGGACAAAGGATGTGGAATTGAACAAACTACCATACTAAAAACAAGGACAAAGAATGTGGAATTGAACAAACTACCATACTGGAAACAAGGACAGAGGATGTGGAGTTGAAAAAACTATCATACTGGAAACAAGGACAAAGAATGTGGAATTGAACAAACTATCATACTGGAAACAAGGACAAAGGATGTGGAATTGAACAAACTACCATACTGGAAACAAGGACAAATAATGTGGAATTGAACAAACTATCATACTGGAAACAAGGACAAATAATGTGGAATTGAACAAACTATCATACTGGAAACAAGGACAAAAGATGTGAAATTGAACAAATTATATTATGGTTTGGTGTTGCTAAGTCCAAAGCTACACAACGGGCTATGTGTGCTCTGCACACCACGGGTATCGAAACCCAATTCTTAGCGTCGTACGCTTGTAGTCTTACTTCTGAGCCACTAGGAGCAATTAGATTTTGAGAAATCTATGCACATAACATAGTTTCGGATTTAATAAACGAATCCCAACTAAAGCTTTCATGGATTTTTAAAATAACGCTCTTAATATTACATAGAAATGTTAAAACCAGTTCACTTTTGTCAGATTTGACAAGGTATCCGATGATAATAAAACCCTGTCGAAACGTCGTACATTTGTTACTGTGTTAAACTTGGACATGTTGTAATATATTATTTCTTCGTTACCAGTTCAAGCTGCCCCTAAAATTTATTTATTTATAATTTACTCACAATGCTATACATAGAGATATCTGTGCATAGCCGTCTCTAATTATGAACTGGAATATTAGATGAAAGGCAGATAGTCAGTAGTACCCACCGCCGACTCTTGGGCTACTTTTTTCTGACCGTTATATAATTGTGGAGTGGCTGCCTGATGAATTTAGTAGTTGCAGTTTGATTTTGTTTTGTTGCTTTCGGATATTCGCAGAAAGTTAACAGGTTTTCATTTTGAACTGATAGTTTCAAGGGAAAGCAGCTAGTCAACAGCACCCACCGCCAGCTTTTGGGCTACTGTTATCTGACCGAATTGTGGGATTTGGCAGTCACTTTTATAAAGCACCCATGGTTACAAACTGCAGAGTGGTAACGGGACGTAAACCACGAATTCTCGGAGTCTCAATCCACCATATATGGGTTACATCCAAATCTATACTCTTACTAAGTACTAGCATTCTTAACTTTGTTATAGTACACAGTCATACAATGAGCTATCTGCGCTCTGTCCACCATGGGGAATCGAGCCCTAGGTTTTTGCATTACAATTCCATAAACTTACTGCTGATCGACCCCGAACAAATATTAAGGATATTTCCTTAACGTGTGGTCTGTTTTGTTGATTAATGAACCGAATGGAAGTACACAAATGAATATTAAGGGTAATCGGTTTAAGCTTTCTTTTTCACCGAAACCATTCTTTGTTTACAGTTATACAATGATGGAGTGGCTACTTGATGATGTGGCATTTGCTGTTGTTCAATTCTGTTTGGTCATTTTCCTCTAATCGACTGAAGCACGTTATGAAAACTATGAATGTTGTCAATCATCCTTTAATATGAAATGTAATCTTCTTTAACAAGTCAATATCATAACATTCCAAATGTTTAAATTTGATGACGAGGAACCCACTTTGAGACTAATAATGGTTGGAGACGGCTTGAATGGGTAATGAAGAAAAACTTTAATACAAGTACCTGATGATGACAAAACCTTGTCGTGACGTTGTACATTTGCTGTTATGTTAAACTTATATTAAAGTTTTTCTTCATTACCCATTCAAGCCGTCTCCAACCATTATTAACTGTCATTGTTTTAACACACTCACGGTCCCAAAGTGCAGAGCGTGATTATTTAGTAAAATGATACGAACCACGAAAGTTTGGATTTACTGTCCAACAGATTAATCACTAGGCTCTGCTGCAATATAAAAAATTTATTATTACAGCGTGTGTATTTTATATGTATGGTATATATATATATACATGTTATTTTTCAAATATATGTTCATTAAGCTTATAATGTCCTTTTGTGTAATTATATTCAATTTGGTAATTAATATTTTCCTTCTCTTGCATTTTGCTGTAACACTTTTCGTCACCTTGTTTTCTACCATCCTAGTTCAGAACTCTACTTATGTACATGTAATGAAACTAATTTATCTACATTTCGGATATTCGCGCGAGGGTAATCTGTACTAGTCATCACATATTTTTAACTAATAGACTAGCAGGAATAGATCTAGTCAATAGCACTCACTAACGAGAGACATGAACTTGTAATGTCAACTTGTTTATGTATCTTAACGTAGTAATAGCTGTTATTAGAATCCTTCATTGCGCCAAAAAACGTTACATGATAATCTAATTTTATAACTTTGCTTGAGTTTGCTTTTGATGTATAGTCCTTTACTCGTGCCCTGCCCCCTAGTGACTAGCAGTAAGTCTGCAGGCTTACGACGCTAAAAATTGGGTTTCGATACCCGTAGTAGGCATAGCACAGATAGCCCATTGTGTAGCTTTGTGCTTAACTACAAACAAACATAAAACCATTACTCATCATTGGTTAGTTATACAAAAATTTAAACTTCTAGCATTGTTAAAAAATAATAATGTATAATATATTAGCTTCGTTTTCTAGTATTATACGTTTGGCTCTTAAAACGTTTATTAATTTCAGTTGAATCTGAAAGCTGTAATTTAAAAAACGGTAAAACATGAAGTGAATTTAAAATGTTTTCT